AGGGGGGAAGAGGTGAATATTGTAGAGCAGGAAGTAGCAAAGATTAGAAAGGATGAGGTGAGGAAGGCTCTGAGGAGAATGAAGAGTGGAAAGGCTGTTGGTCCAGATGACATACCTGTAGAGGTGTGGAAGTGTCTAGGAGAGACAGCAGTGGAGTTTCTATCTAGTTTGTTCAACAGGATTTTAGAGAGTGAGAAGATGCCTGAGGAATGGAGGAGAAGTGTACTAGTGCCGATCTTTAAGAACTAGGGTGATGTGCAAAGTTGAACTTTCAGTTGTATACATCAACAGATGCTTGATTGATCTGATGTAATTGATGAGGGAATGATTGCAGGTAGCCTATCGTTCAGTAAGGCAGCTGTTGCACTGCCCTATGGGATTTGTAGTTTGTGTGTTATTGGCACTTCATATCGTCGGGCCATTAAAAAAAGATATATAAAATGATCTTGCGGACCGGATAAATTGTACGCCGGGGCGGATGTGGCCCGCGGGCCTTGAGTTTGACGCAGGTGCTCTAAAGCAATGAGATAAAGCAGTACCTATTTGTGAAGGTATTAGCTTGAGAGAAGTTTAAATTTTTTTTTTTTTTAAATATGGTTGACGTTTATTATCATTATTCAAGCATGCAGCCCTGGATGACTGTTACCATGTGGTGAAGTACAGCACCACCGTGTGCTTGGTCTCCTTTTAAATTCTTGGTGTGGGACACCAGCATCATCTTAATTCGTTTTTCAATTATTCGCCATGGTCTTCACAGTAATATGAAAAATAATTAAAATTGCATATATGCAAGTAAAATAGTCAAGGGTACCTAAAGGCTAAGACACAGCAGCAAGTGCGAGTCGCCTCTAAATGGCAAGAAACAGGAAGGAGGAAGATGGCAGCACAGGAAAGGTTATATCCCTCATGGTTGCTGACATTGTTTGGTGTGGCTGGAAAGAGGCTCTTTCCTAGTGCTTGTGTATTCAACTGTCTTAAATGGTGTGAAAGCTGGAGGCGTTGTTCAAGCATTTAAGCATATCTGAAGTGCCAGGAGCTGCATGTCCAGTGCAGAAGCTACAGTACAACCAAGTCCCAGTTTTTCCTGCCAAGTAATTACAGCTCACAACATTCAGTTTTTTGAAAGATAAAAATCTGGTGATCCAGCAGCACTTAATGCTGTTCTGAAGGTATTTCAAACAAACCAAATTGTTGGCTGCACAGTAATAAAGATGTTAACTGGTTTTCCACGTTGCAGCTCTATTTGCTTCGTCCAAACAAAGCCGCTAGCTAAAAACAGCACAATTCCTTCAATATTTTATAATTCATGAACCAAATTATAGGTATTATTGTTAGATTTATGGTATTTGTCTATACAGATGTTGCTTTATTTTATTTTTGATGTTTGAATATATGGATGTTGCTTTCTATTTTTTGGTTGAAATAAATGATTTCTACTTGTGTCATGCAAAATGAGCAAAGGAAATAGAGTTGTAACAAAAAACGTTAAGTGATTCTATTGTGCAGCAGACCGAACATATAATAGTCTAAATGGATACAAGAGAATTTGAGGATTTCGTAGTAAATGCCTTCAGAACAGTAGCAAATGTTATTAAATGACCTTGGTTTTTTTTTCCCAAAGATTGCCAGATATTGATATTTATAGAAAAATTGATGCTTATCTCTGATTCACATATGTCCAGCTCCACTATGGGTTGACTGTCAGCTAAGTGAAATTAGTAAATCATATTTTTCATTTGTGTGATTGATCTCTTTATGCAGTAGAAGGAGAATAAAACAAGAGTTTGTTCTGTAACCTTTTCTGGGGTGATTGGAATATTTAAATTTTGTGTGTGAGAGAGAGAGGCGGCATAGGAACAGTAGCGAGTGTTTCAGTGAGAGCAGAAAGTACAGCCTCTGTTCACAGGGCAAACACTGCTGTCCACTGTTCACCCTGAATGGGCATTTGGAGGGTTGTCGGACATCACACACAGGGGGTGGTTGTTTTGAAGGTCCAGCGCTGACAGATCAGATTCTGGGTATATGAATTTTTTCTTATCATGTAGACATACAGTATCTCACACTGACATTTAACCAGTACAGTGTCAAGTGACTGAGCTGTAAGAGAGAGGATGAAAGTGAGCCCTGACATATCAAAGACTTATGAGCTATTTTCCAAGACTTACACAACCTAACCAGGCTAAGGTTGCATTTTAACAGGTTTTCCCTTTGTGAACTCTAACCTTCTCATATGAGGGGCCCTGAGGGACATTAACCAGAACTGTCCTCTCATATCAAAGTCATGCACATGATATACTGAAAACCACACACACAAGTAAAAGGCTTTCATATACACAAATGAAAAGCCCTCACACAGATGAACTGAAAAATTATACACTTGCATACACAACTAAAAAGCTCTCATGCACTAATTAAACGTGCTTATATACACAAATGAACAATGTGCTCTCAGTGACGTACAGTATGAAATCATTCATACATTACAATGAAAACCTAAAATGCTCTATCGACGTCCATTTCCCACACTGATGTCTGCTCAAGGCCTGTATGTCTCACTGAAGCCGCTGCGTCACTTAATGTCCCCGAGGACCCCTCACACCGCCGCTGACCTGTAGTCTCATTAAACAGAGAGGGAGGGAGAGCGGTACCTGTACAGGTGCTGGGACCTGGCGGTGTCGCGCGCCACAGATGCACCCCACGAGAGTTGAGCGAGCGCGAGCGCTCTTGGGTTTTTTCGTGCACGCGAGATTAGGCTCCTCACGGCAATCTGCGTGACACGGCAGGTACCCGGTGAGAGTGAGGACAACGAGAGAACGAGCGCGTCCTCGGATGCTGATCCACGGAGTGGTCGAAGAGTTCCGGGAAGATGACCATGACGGGTCCGGACCGAGAAACCAGCTAGCGGCTGCTATAACCTTGGATTTTAGGTCCGAAACTTTTTCTCCTGACGGTTGTTTCTGACTAGAGGGGATAAGTCACCGAGAGGGACAGGTATCCTCTCACATCAACAGCCCTTGTCCTCTCTCCTTCTCCTCTAGGCTGTACGACCCGGGACTAGGAGTTTTCCTCTCATTTTAGCAGTCGCCTTTTGTTTCTGAACTTTTCTGGGCCATGTTGTTGACAAGGTGCCTCGTCCTGCTGCTCTGCTGGGGGTCCACAAGCGGCGAGGAGCGGGCGGATGAAACGGACGAGGACACGTTCGAAGTCCGGGCAGACCCCCGCAAGCAGCGGACCGCGCCACCGGTGGAGCCGTTGGATTTTGGGTTTGTATGGGTTTATGCTTATTACGAGCCAGGGGCCATAGGGGTCCTCTTCCACATGGTCCATGCTTTCCTCTACGCTGTTCAGCCGAACCCCTTCCCCAAAGGTGAGATTATTATTGTCATTGTAATAATAGAAGTTAATAACAATAGACTTCATCAATGTAATGTTTTGATAATAGTGCACGGTATTGGTATTTGTTTAGACAGTCCACCTCTCAGTATTTGGATCCCAAGATAAGAAAAACAGCAATTTATATTTCTGTAACACTAAAACATTTATTTTCTGTTTTGATTTGATTCATTGTCTTGTGAAATACTGGGTATTAAACAGTAATTTCAGCACTGATAGGGGCTGCGAGGAAACTTTGCTTTTGTTTAAGAGGTCACAAGTCATAAAGGCTGGAAACCAGTGGCTCATATTTGACTCAAATGTGACAGAATCTGACTGACTTGTTGTACATCATAAACTAAGCAACAAAGCCCAAAAAGCACTAAAAACCACAAAAAGACTATTTGGAATTATTTGCACATGCAGCTGTGTCTGTATTTCTTTTCTGAGTGTAAATCTGTGTCATATCACAGCTGACGTAACACAGACTTCCAAATAAACAAGTGGTCATGTTGGAAGATGAAACAGTGCAATAGGATTGAGAGCTTTAAGTTGCTGTTATTTTGGTGTCCCGGGTTAGGACTGCTGGC